TTACTCATATTAGTACTGTTGGGGACCAGAGAAGTCTTAAATTTGTTACCCTTAATAATGGTACATAGAGGTCACATCCTTCGTTGGATCATAGTGTGAACTTAGTTTTCCTCCGTGACAATTGTTGGAGTCTTTTAAAATGACTTAAACGTTGACCTCAAGGTTGTGCGCACAACCCAAGGTACAGTTTTACCTTGATATAATATGATAAAAAAAAATATGTACCAATAAAATAAAATGAATGTAATGAAAATATAATACCCAAGTAAATGGGGGGCCCATATTTATAAAGTACCCGCGTGATAAATATCACGAAATAAAATATAAATGAAGTGAATTAATACTCCGATTCCTGGTATCTAATAAATAAATAAATATATAAAGCTAGCTAAAGGTCAAAAAAAATAAGAGATAAAAGAAAGTACGTACAAAAATTATGAAAAAAAGGCCTGACAATCGAAAACAAAGGATATGAGAGTAGTGTTAGTATTTATGAAAATATATAACACGCAAAGACATGAGAACAATTAAAATGAGGTAATAAAGGGATCCCTCGAACAAATCTAAAAAGTTAGATATTATGTAGTTATTTCGCATTTCTATATTATTACCTACAATCCTACTCAAAAGGCTACTTAGAAGCTACACATCTAGTAACTATAGGAACGATCCACACAACCACACAAAAAAAAAAACCCAATTAAATTTGATAAATACATTTTCGCGTAGATTTACATTAATTTACGATTTTTTTTATTTATGCACATTGACTCATAGTTACAATAACTCTACCTTAAACTTCTCGTGTTATATTATTTTTTTTTTGTTGTTTATGAATAATTTGTAAAATTTTAAACAAAATTTGGTATATTGCTTACTAAAATCAAACCCAAAGCGTATCGATACTCTATTATTATAAGTTTGATAATGTAATAATTTTTTTTTTCTCTATATAGACAGTCAAACCTAAGTTTACGTTAATACATATTTACTTAAAAAAAAAAAATTGTCTTCAAATGTTAAACAAATATTTTGTTATAACTTCTAAATTATTTTTATTAAACTTAACTTTATATTTTAAACTCTGTATTCAATTAAGATCAAAAATCTTGAAATCTAAAATTAAAAAAAGTAATAATGTGTATTCGACTTTTATGAATAACTTAAATAATAAATATTCGATAATGTACGTAAATGTATTATAACAATGCCATGTAACCATCTTAACTACGTACATTAAAAAGTGCTTGATACTGTAATTTTCAAATACTTTTAAGTGTACTCATAATAAAACAATTTGTAAGTTATTTTGAATTAGATATTATGTATGTGTCATACGATGTAATTTCAAACCTTTCCTTATACGTGCTTTGTGGACTTTATAACAAAGGTGTGTCACAAACCGCTTACGCGGCTGTTGCAAGATGTATTTTGATCTCTGTTGTTATGATCATGATTAGGTTGCATTACATTATGTTCTTTGTTCTGTTCATCTTAAAATGAAATGTAATATTTTCGGTGATAAATCATATGCTTTTAATTTTTATAAGTCATCGTTCTCTGGAAAAATTGTTAAGTATTAATATATAACCTATTTGTGTGGATCATAAAAGTAACGATTAATCAAATACAAAGGTATAAATAAGTGAAGTATAAAGTATTATAATTGTATACTAATAGTATAAAATGTGAAAAAATATATAAGGAAGAGTAGATAGTACTTAATGCGAGTATCCGGATAAGTTACTTAATAAATGACTAAATAACTCAATATCTAAGTACGTTACAATAATGTGTCGACCAAAATAATATACCTTCACGAATGTTCACCTAATTATGTCAAATACGTATGTTGTATGTATGCATCATACTATTTTTAATGTGACTGACGAATTATTATGTGTTTAGGAGGTTTGGCCAGCCGTCCTACCCAAATCAAGACGAATTTTACATATTATACTTAATAATTTTATTTATTTACTTTTAACCCATATATGCCCAGAACTATGTTTTTATTTGGTTCCTTATTTGCCTCGTGATTCGAAAACGAATCAAAAAATTAAGTTTTAATAATAGTTCATTATCTTCCGCGTTTTCTTCGAAAAGTGCATTCTACTGCCATCTATGTCAAGGTTAAGGTATTATCTTCTAATGGTAATTGAATGTGTCAACTAAACAAACGTTATTTTCACGTAATGAATCAGTGCAAGTTGTGACCAGTTTACAGCATGCAGAAATCATGGCGACTTTCACAAAAAAGTAAGTAACTATCCCAATTATCTCTATTTTAGAGATCTTGCGTAATTTATGATAACATTACATAGTTTGAAAATATGCTTATGTAATTATATAAACTAAATGGTTGTATTCAAATACCCAAAAGCTATTTTTAAAATCAGTGTTTCGAAAACGATACACTGGGAAAATATACGTATGTAATATACTAAATTAACATTTTATTATTTCAGATGGAGCAGGCCGTTATCGACCAATGAAATAGTTGATATTGTTCATAATTTGGATTCGGACGATGAAGCGACAGGTATAGACATTTATATTGATCCCCCGGATATGGATTAGTTTCGGACTCCGATTTGGGCGATGAAATAAATGTAAGTTTCGATAATTTATCACGTAGACAACTTTTGGCTCCTGCTGAGCTGGTGCTTCATGGGAATAAAAACAATGATAACAGCGAGTCAGAAGATGATCTTCCGTTTTCAGCCTTAGCTAGTCGAAACACAACAACGAACGGGCCTTTATCAAGTCAACCAGGACAGCCACAAGCCCGTAAGTAGATAAAACGAGATTTACGTTTGTTGGTTGTACTCCTCAGGTAAGCTCTCTCCAGACCAGGATCGCAGGATCGTCAATGAAGAAGACCAGGATAGTACTAATAACTCGATTTAATAACTATATTTACAATGTCGTATATGACAAATAAAGATATAAGAAATGTGTGTTGCCGCTACGGTTGTACGGTGCAGTCTGAGGCCCGAACGGGGCGGCGGCATCGCGTGCGACGCATGCACTCGCGACGTCACCGTGGGCCCGGCACGACAAAAGGTTTGTGGTTGCGCCAACAACGTTGGATGGATAAAGAGTGGATTGCACCGCTTCCAAGATCAGTGGTGACCGTATCAGATGCGTCGGACCCAGTTGGTATTTTAGAATTATTTTTTAGTCACGAAGTAATCATTCATATTGTTCGTCATACAACGGTATGAATGCTGTATATGAATGCTGTAGAAAAAGGAAATATGGCGTTTACCTTGTCAGATAATGAAACATATTGCTTTGTCGGCACTTTTATATGGCCAGGTTACTGGCCATTGCCGCGACGGCGTATGTATTGGGAGAGTAATGAGGATACCCACAAATTGTTAGTAGCTAAATCTATGCGACGGAACCGGTTTGAAGAAATTTTACGATACTTTCATGTGGCTGATAACTCAAATTTAGCGCCAGGTGACAAATGGCAAAAGTGCACCCCTTGTTTGATATGCTCAATAAAAAAATTTTACAATATGCTGTGATTGAAAAAGATATTAGCATAGATGAATCTATGATTCCTTATCACGGCAGGCATGGGTGTAAGCAGCACATCAGGTTCGGTTTTAAAACTTGGGTAGCAGCTTTGCGACTGGGATATTGCTTGCATGCTGATCTTTACCAGGGTAAATCTGAAGGAGTCAGGACCGGTTTAGGCCAACATGTCGTACGTAAACTTATGACGGAGATCAAAGCTGCCTACGAAAATACAAATTTCTAAGGTACTGTAAGAAATAATAGAATAGAGAAGTGTCCTTTCAAAGATGTCAAATTATGCAAGAAAAAACCGAGAGGTTATCACGATAGTCGGCTGATCAGCCGGGTCCTTCTAGAAAGATTTCCACGACTGTACCTCCCTCAGTGCGAAAATTTAATGCTGAGCACATGATCGGCAGAGCACCAAGCCGGCTGTGTTGTGCTTATTGCAAAAGCTTGACGGTTACTTCGTGCCAAAAGTGTCAGGTTAACTTACATACCAAATGTTTTATAGCGTTTCATTCCTAAATTGAGTTCCTAAATATGTTCCTCCTAAATTTTGCTTAAATCTTGTTTGTTGGTATTTTAGATTTATATGAATATGTCATTTGAAAATAAATAAACATAGAAAAATGTTATTGTTTTTTTACTCATAGTAAATGTGTGGAAAGTGCCCAATGTTTCGTTTTCGAACACTTTAAAAAAAGGTACATAACGAATTCCAACCTTAATGAAACCAATTATAACGTTATTAGAAACTTATTACCACTAACATATCCAAAATTTAGTAAAATCGGAAGTCCAAAATAGTTCTGGGCATATAGAGGGTATTGATCGTTTTCGAATCAGGGGGCAAATATGGGTTAAGGATTAATTTTTTACAGTATAAAAAAAAATTTTGTTTTATTTTTTATTTTTTTGTCGGTGGGAGGTGTGGTATAGGTATAACCCACGACTATATAATAAGTATATAAAGTTAAAAATAAAGAACTTATAATAAAGCTATCATTATATAAATTAAGTGTAAGACATATGTAAGTCGTAATAATAATTACATTATAAAAATGATGAGTAGTTTTAAGAAAGTATTTAGTATTATATAGTGTCATATGTTTAAAAATTTAAAAATTCTAACTGAATTTTAAATTTTTTTAAATAAGGAAGGAGATGTGGTGTCGGTACTATGATAAAACAATATAACAGGAATATTAAATGATATCATCACTCAACGTGGACTCCATATAAGGAGTAGAAATAACATCTATTTGGTTCAGTAATATCATATTATATTTATAGAAGAAGATACCATTCATGTGGCTCTACCTGGAACCACGTAACACAAACCCTGCCCCTACCTATGTACCTACGTCACAACCACTATATATAAGTCTCCTTCAACCCAATAAAGAGAGAATTATTAAACTGCATCACTGAGTTTAAATTACTGCTTGTCCAAACATTACAATACTTACAGCTGGAATATTAAAAAGATTAGAAGCAGTCAGGTCAAAGAAGCTGACCACACCATTGCCATATGCAAGCACCAAAAATGAGCAGTCAGGGCTCCACACTAGTTTACGCCATTGTGCATATGGATCACGACTCACTGAAATCATTTATGTAAGTACATGTCAGAGATAGTTGGTAGAAAATAAACAGATAAATAGAAGTGAGGGTAGAACATGAAACTTTATACTGCTCAAATGAGTGGGGAACTTATTTGAGCAGTATAAAGTTCTACATAGGCAATACACATTACAGTTTGTTAGATGCATTTTTTTTTATTTATTGCATAAGCAAGATTTCAAGTTAAACATCCACTTTCACACTATATTATTGTTAACAATAGCCTATTGACATGTTCTAATCATGAATTTTGTAAAGTATTAATCAATGTGTAGTGTCGGCGTAAAAATAACCACTACCCTTATATCATCTCGTGAGTGTGGTAAGAGGCGACAAAGGGAAACAAATCAGATCGGCAGCAGAGTCTTCCTAAAAGTTAAAGCTACAGCCTATATACGTCCTGGTACAGCTGGTCAAGGAAATGTCCGTCGCGCTGACCCAATGCATGTTGGCGAACTTCACATGTCTTTGAAATATTTTTTTTCTTAATTCTCAGGCATGCTCACAATGTGTTTCTTCATCACCGAGCACAATTCATTAGTGCTAGCGGAGATTGAACCCGGGTTGCTAGCGTACTATGAAACTTACAGCGAGCGCTAACCATCTGAGCTACCATGGCTCTTTTTATATTCATTGCACCTTCCTAATAACAACTAAAAATAAAAACTGCAGTGCTAACCCACTTGCCAAGATTGGCAACTATGGCAAATATCCTCTCTATGACGCAATCAGTGGGGGAGGTCTATGTTTTAGTTCTGTATATTATATCTAGCATATACAAAATGGTTCTACCATTATAAACCTATCAGAGGCCGTAAGATCATTCGTGTTTACTTATTAGTCACCTCTTAACACACAGCAATAAGCAATGTTTTCTTGTAAGTACGCTGCTACTACACAGCTTTCATCATCATTATCATCATTACAGTCTTTCACAAGTCCACTGCTGAACATAGGCCTATACAGCTTTATAAAATTTACCATTACCGTTACAGTCTATTAAAGTCCACTGCTGAACATAGGCCTCTCCCATAGATAGCCTCATAGGGAAGGACATTTACCATAGTTGCCACACTTGGCAAGCGGGCAGCTTGGCAAACTGTGGTTTGCCCAGCTTTAAAAATTAAAAACTGTGGTGGCCACCACAGTTTTTAATTTTTAATGGTTATTAGGAAGACGCTGCTGCCCATCTTCTCATTTGTTTCCCTCTGTCACCTCTTTTGACACCCAGCAGATGATATGGGGTAGTGGATATTTTTATACTGACATTATATAGTAAAACATAAATAGTGTTAGATATCACATTAAAAAAAACTTAAGTTATTCGTAATCCTTAAACATATTTTATTTTATTCTTATTTAAGTCCTCATTCTATTCAAACAAAATAAATAATGTATTTAAAAAGATTCCTGTTTACCAGTAGTCCTAGCTGCTATTGTAGCATATTCTGTACGCTTGGTCCTGATTTCCAATATGTTATCAGTAAGCACGGCTAATACTTTCCCTTCATCACCAAGAGCAATATGCCACTTTTGTTGTTTCTCTTTATGTCTGAAAAAGTTAATAAAAAAAATTTATGAAAAAGTTATAAAATTTCTAATTACTTATCTTGCCTTAAAACATAAAGGTGATGAATTGCTGTACTGTATTTTGCTTTATCAATAAAATGGCATTAATTAGCAAAATTTTTATCTCTTACAAAATGCTAAAAGGCACACAGTATCTTTCAAATAAATAAGGATTTGATTAGCGCACATAAACTAGTTGCCCTATATAGTATATTATCTACTATGGCAGTACTCATACATTATATGCATATATCAAAATATAATGTAATTTAACCCTAGTAGAAGAAGAAAAAAAAGAAAAACCAAGAAGTGGACTTGGATATCGCCGGATGGAACTTACCGAAATGAAATTGACTTTATAACTAGTAATCAACCCAAGTTTTTCCAAGATGTTAGTGTAATAAATAATTTCAATTTGAAAAGCAACCATTGTACGGTCAGAGCACTACTATTTGAGAAACAACAAAAGAAACAACGAAAACACTTTCATCAGAGTGAAAATACCTGCACGACTGATACAATGTTTCAAAGCAACATAACAACCGGAGAAATAGACAAAACGCAAGAAATTTACAATATAGAAACTAACAATATTTATAGAAAGAAGAACAAATCAATAAAAAACAAAAATACACTGAGCTCGAAAGCAATAGATCTCATTCAAAAACGGAACAAAAGAAGAAAAAAGAAGAAATAAAACAACATTACATGAAATTACTGACCTAAGTAAGGAGATAAGTCGCAACATAAAACAAGATAAGTCGAATAAAAGAATAAATTGTATCCAAAAACACATTACTAAAACAGGAGGTATCAATAAAGCACTTAAAGAAATGAAGGAAACAACGCTGTGGGTCCCAATAATGAAAAGCAAAAACAACAAGGACGAAACAAGAAGACAGCCAATTTTAAAGATAGCGACAGACTATTATCGGAAATTATACTCTATCGAAAACACCTTAAAACTCAACATAAACCTTGAAGATAAAACAGAAGAAATCCCTCCAATTCTTGAAAGGGGAGTTCAGCATGCGATAGCAACACAGAAAAATGATAAAGCTCCTGGACCTGATCATATAACCAATGAGATGATGAAAGCTACATTGCCAGAAACAACAAAAAAACTTAATCCATACCTTCACAGTGGACAATAAGCACTATAATACTCATCTTTAAGAAAGGAGATAGATCAGAAATAGGAAACTATTGCCCAATAAATCTCATGTCCAACATATACAAGGTGTTCTCAAAATAATACTGAAACGCATCACCAAAAAACTTGAAGAACAACAATCAAGAGAACAGGCTGGATTCCGATCGGGATTTGCAACAATTGATCACATACATATGGTTAAACAGCTCATTGAAAAATGTCAAGAATACGATTATCCATTATACATGGCATTTGTGGACTATAACAAAGCGTTTGACTGCCTGGAACATCAGTACATTTGGAAAGCCCTGAAAAATCAAGAAATTGAAAATAAATATATAAGAATAATAAAAAATGTGTATTCCAACAGCAAAGCACGAATCAAACTAGAAGCAGAGGGGCAAATTTTTCCAATACTCAGGGGAGTGAGGCAGGGAGACCCACTCTCACCAAAACTTTTTTCATCCATGCTAGAGGAAGTCATCAGGAAGATGGAATGGGACAACATAGGGATTAACATAAATGGAACACATTTAAATCATTTAAGATTTGCAGATGACATAATACTTATAACAGATAACCCGGAAAGCCTTAAAAACATGCTCCAAGATTTATCATGTGAAAGTAAAAAGGTGGGACTAACAATAAACAAAACAAAGACAAAGATAATAACAAACAGATACCAAATAAGTATCTCAGTAGATGAGAAGGAAATAGAATATATAAATTCTTATGTATACTTAGGCCAACTTATCACCTTCAACAACCAAATGGATTCAGAGATTGAAAGACGGGTAGCCAATGCCTGGAAGAGATTCTGGTCCCTCAAAGAAGTGCTAAAAGGCACTCAATATAATATTGCAATGAAAAGGAAAGTATACAATACATGCATATTACCAATCCTTACCTATGCAAACCTGGGGCAAAATGCCAGACCTGGGCAAACACATAAAAACAAAACCATAAACTGATTACATGCCAAAGAGCCATGGAGAGGAGTATACTGGGTTACACAAAAAGAGATAGAAAGAGAGCTGTAGATTTAAGACAAATTACCAAAATTGAAGATGTAGTAGTTAAAACTAGAAAACTCAAATGGAGGTGGGTAGGCCACATAATGAGAGAGAATAGAAATAAATGGACGAAAGATATAACAGAATGGACCCCTAGATACCAAACAAAAAGGAAACGTGGAAGACAAAGAAAACGTTGGTCTGATGACTTAAAAAAGCATGCGGGTCCCATATTACACAGAACAGCTAAAACAAGAGCAGAATGGAGAAAGCTGGAGAAGGCCTTCGTGTCGCAAAGACACGCCAACGCGACGCCCAATAACAATGACATACTTACCTAATAATATAATATCAACTAAAATTACATACATAGTGATATTAATAATGTATAATAGTAATCAATTTTACTTTTAAAGTTATATATTTTAAATATGATAAATTATAGTAGTATAGATAAATTATGTATATTGTGTTGGCAATAAAGGCTTATAAATAAAAAAAACCCTAGTTGTAGGTTTTTTTTTAAATAACTCTGCTTATGTTGTACAACCTGTGCTACTTAACTGTGCACATTGCGCTAGTATGTAACTTTGATAATACTGTTTGAAATATTCTTTTATTTTTGTTTGTTTTGGTTTTTTTTCAACATTGATAGGTAATGTTTGTATCGTATTAATAAATAAAAACAAACAAAATAGATATAAAAAAGATTAATTATTGCTAATGAACACATGAAACGAAGCTGGAGAGAGGTCACATTCCAGAGAAGTGCACAGTTAAATTGCATGTGTTACACCTACATATTTGAGTACTGTGTATTTTAGTTCAGTGTCGTTCACTTTTACTTTTACATAAAATTGTTGGGGGATTAATTTTATTAATTTAACATAGAAGACAACTCTGAAAAAGGTACATCAGACAATTTACATAAAGTGAATAGTTTATCGTAGCTCAATATATCTTAAAAATAATTATTATGGCTACCAAAATGTATGGAATAAAAATGCAAATGTAAGCATAAACTTACTATGAGGTAGTAGAGGGTTTGTTAGGAATATTACATGTCATGTCACTGGGCTGTAGCAACAATTAACTAAGAGCCGCACTTGAAATTAAATGTAATGTATAAAATGTAATAAATTTTTATTAATTGTCTAATTATAAAAAGATATATAGAAGTACCATACATGTAAAACAACGATTTTTTTGGAGCCACATATGAGTCTGTGTAAATGCTCAAATAAATATTATATTAAGATTTTAAGACAGACTTGTAATTTCAAGTTCGTACTTACTAAGATTAAGAAACACTTTCACTAATTGGTTTTTATTTAAAATAACACAGATATTTTAGTATGGGTGTCCCAGCACCCGTGTGCAGGAATAACAAGTAAGCCGGATAGTGTAGGGTTCTAGGGCTTGAAAATATATCACAATGTACTTACGCTGTTACGCTGTCTATTAAACTTTTCTTTGGGCCAAAAAATTTTACCCAACGCCAAATAGCTGATATATTTTCAGGTAAAATGTGGTCATGTTTTTGCTGTAATATTAATAAGATTATTAACAATCTAGTGTAAGCCAAAAAAATGAAATAAGTATTAAAAACTGACTAAATATTCTGGCTCGGGTTTCCACTCTGAAAACACGTATAGTTCATGTAAGATAGATTTGCTTTCAGGCATTTTTTTAAATTAAAAACTAGGCTATACTTTCAATATTTTTGAGATCTTATAAAACTGTTGTCACAAAAACATAACATTGCCGTATGCGTATGTTCTTGACTTTTTCGTTTTTGACAGTGAATTATTTTGTTGGCGAAATTATTGACGTTTTAAAAGCTTGCTACATACTAAAGGTACTCTGTGCTACATACTACATATATATATTTATCTATGGTTTTAAAACTGTTTAAAACCGTTATTTTTTTCTTTATTTGGTGGTGGGCTCATAAGATTGTGTTTTTGCCAGTATAAAGTATTATGAAATTATTCTTTAAGCTGTCAATTTATAAAATTCATCACAAAAATAATATAAGTCACATTGCGAACTTTCGTAAGATTTCGACGGCAGCTTCAGACAGCAGACATACTGCCTTTACATTTTCTTATTATTTATTTTCTTGATTATTATAAAATATATATTTTTTAATAGTATAAGCGTGACAAACAGTACACAGTCCACTTGATGGTAAGTGGTTGCTGTGGCCCATAGACATACCTATATCCTCGATTACGAATCAAAATGCAGATGCGTTGTCACCCGTGAGGACTAAGATGGAATGCCTGGTTTCCAGTAAAAACGGTCTCTGGTTCTCTACATTCACCATACGAAACACAGCAGCGTTAAGCTGCTATTTTACGCATGTATTCTGTAAGAGCGTGGTCCTTCCGCGGTCGAGCCAACCCAATCGTGCTACAACAATAATAGTAATATAACTGCAGCATGGCTCTACCACGTAAATTGGTATTTTTTTAATTATTTTAAGTTTGTGGAGCTCCAACAAGAATTGTTTGTTATGTTTAATCTTATAAATCTTGTAAACTCTGCATATGTTAACTATTAGTAAAAACGATGATCAAGTATTCCGGTGGTGGTATGAACTTCAACGTAAAATGCTTAGGCACATTGAGATACTATCGTCATCCATTGTCTCGTAGCGCAAGCTGCCGTCAAAATCTCCCTAAAACTTCACAATGTGATGCGTCAACATAATGTGAAGAAGTTTTTAAACAAATATCAAAAAGGGTTGGCGATCCACCCTGGCTATGCACAAGTGATTTCTGAATCTTGACAACAGCGCCACTTACTGGGGCCAACTGTGAATTTAAGCCATCCAGGGACCCCAGGGATTCCCCTGTGACCCTGTGTAGAAAACACACAAAAAATCACCAAAATCAGTCCAGTTCAGCTGTTTAGAGGAAGTTTAACATTAGCGTTCCGAGTCACGCGTAGTGTTTCTATATAGTTTGTGGTTCCGAGTTGATTTATGAAGTTCAGTGACAATACACGTACAAATTATTTATAATATAAAATAGTACATTTATAATTGCTTACTATTTGATACTGGCAAAAGTACTTCAGTACGAGTCCACTGCAAAAGAAAAAAAACCGTTTTGTTTATTTTATCATATTTTATATTTTATAAGGTTATATATTTTATAAGGTTATGTATACCTATACTAAAGAATTGAGCGAATTGAGTTTATAAAAAAAGGAACTTGGATTATTATTTTATTTTCATACATTAATCATAAATCTAAGTCTTACCGAAATATCAAATAAATATTAAAACATGAATATTCTTAACGATTTATATGAAAAGGTATGTAATTCACTGGTGGTAAAAGATCCCCAGATCTTTAAATTTATTTTTAATTCATAAATTTTACTTTTAGAAATTGGCAGAAAACGAAGGAAAGTTAAGATTTTGGGAAGATTATCTGAAAAGTTTAAAGGCACTAGATTTCAGTCAGTTTTCAGATAAATTAACAGTTCCAATACTAGTACCTGTTGGCAGTAGAATTTTTTTCAGAGGTTATTTAAAACACACTAATGAAGTAACTGTCGCCTTAGGTGCGGACTACTTTACTAAATGTTCTTTACAGCAGGGAGAAATTTTACGACAACATAGAATAAAAGGTAAATCTTTAGTTTAGATTCATTCCCATACAACAACATAACAAATTCGATAAATATAAAAAAGGATCACCAGTACTATCATCTGCATAGCATGGAATGTAACTGATTTGCAAAATTAATATGCAGAAGATACAGCGTAGGTGATAGCACACATCCTTGTGAAACACCAGCATTAACTGGCTTCTTCCTGATTCTTCTTCTTTCCCAAATACTAATAATAATAAGAAACTAAACTTAACTGCTAAACTCCCTGCTAAGCGTGGCCACTATGGAGAATATCCCCCATGAGGCAATCAATGGGGAGGCTTATTTTCAGCTTTGGAATTTTACCGTTACCATTATAGCTTATTAAAGTTTACTGCTGAACTTCATTGAAAGTTCATTGCTGCATATAATATCCCCCATATTTGCTATAGTTTACATGCTTGACCAGGGGGTTGGTAACTGCAGTTTTTATTTTTAGTTGTTATTATCTCTTGTTATGTTTTGCTCTTTAGCCTTTTATGACACCTACAGGATAATACGGTGTAGTAGATATTCTTACACTGCCATTACTCGGTAAACGGTTGAACTTTTATGATATGCTGTAATGATAATGGTGATGATGACAGCAAATGATTGGAATAATTTGCCTGCCACGGTTATTCGGCCTTGATACAATGAAATAAGTCTATAAGAGTGTATATGCTTTTACTGAGCTAGTATGTTTAGCAACCAAGACCATGTCACCACTTACCATCTGGTGGAATTGTTGTCAAGTTTTAACTTATAACCAAAATAATGTTTCATTGCTACAGCACCTTACACTAATAAGCACCTGTTTTACTAACATAGTCAATAGATAATTGCATATCAGATAGCTTTGCTTTCTTTTACTTCTAATGTATATTCCAATTTACAGAGTATGAAAAACCAGTATAAGTAAAGGCAACTTTGCACCTCTTAGGATTAAGATAGAATGCTTTACAGCCTGGTAAAGTCACATATAGTATGCTTTTCAGTTTTAAATTAATTGTAGCTATACCTAAATAGGCTGTAGATACTAAGCTGTTTCATATTGTAAATGTAGAGAACTGTAGACTAAGATACAATGCTTCAATACCAGTAGTATTGAAGCATTGTATCTTAGTCCTCAGTAGTGACAATGCATTATCAACATTTTCATTATTAATGAAGAATACATGTAAATGTCTATGGACTACAGAATCCACTTACTATCAAGTGGACCGTATGCTCTTATTCTGTTTAAAAGTATATTAGTTTCATATTATAGATAAAATTTATTAACCACATTATAATTGTTGTAGCCCATTGTGGATTCACAGTTATAAAACAGTTACATGCATGGTTTTCGATTATAAAAACATCCTGAGTCAAATTAATATTTTAGATGCTGAATCAAAACTGGATATATTTAAAAAGGAAAAAGAATACTTAGAAAGCCAAATAAGCTTCAACAGAGAAAATGTGTTTGGTGATGTTGGTCAAGAAATAATTGAATTACATACAGAAGAAGAAGACAGAGCATGGAGAGAAAAACATAGGCAAAGGGTTAGAGAGTACTATCAAAGAAAAGATAAAAAAGAAGAAACTCAAAGTAATGAGATTCCTGATGAAGTCTTATGGAATAGACTGGACGAATTAGAGCTTCAAGAAGAATTAGAAAATGAATTATCTAAACTTGGTAATAGTGAAGAAATGGAAGAAATGATAGAAAATAATAAACATAACAAAGATGGAAAAGAAAATGATGAAAACTCTAACAAAAATAATATGCAATTTAGCAATTTAACAGAAGGAAAAAAAGAAAATGATTTTTTTCAATTGGATTCAAAACCAACTCAACAATTAGATCTTTTACAACAAATTCTTGATAAGCAAAATGAACTTGAAAATAAATTAGCAGAGTTAAAAAACAGAGACAGAATTTCCAGTAAAACTGAGGGTGACCTCATGTCAAGATTAGACGAATTGGAGCAATTAGATGAATTAGAGGATGAAATGAACAGGTATATAATAACATAATTGTTAACATATTTTTTTTCTATTTCACTTCATATTAACCGCGTGAAGAAAGTTTTCCAATGACTACCCCTCTCGCTTCCGCCGATCTCATCCCACAGTCGCCTAGTTAGTAAAGTAGCAGCCTATTTACGTCCCACTGCTGGGCATAGGCTTCCTCTCATTTCTGAGAGGGTTTTAGGGCAAGGAAATGTTCGCCGCGCTGCCCCAATGCGTGTTGACGAACTTCACATGTCTTCGAAATATTTTTTTTTGCCTAGTTAGTACCCTTACATAAACGCAGTTGTGCGCTCACGTGTGCAACGTCATTGAATTGTTTTTGTTTGTTTCATGTTAGTGTTATTTTTTTTTTATTAAAGTGGTTAAAGGGAAAGCCAATTGTGGTTTCGAACGTGTTATTATTTTAAAGGTTCTAATGTTTTTCGAGAAGGAAAAGATAAAGGTTTGTCTATAAATACAAATTAGTAACAACTCCAAGGTTTTTTTATTAATAATTTTTCCTTTTTTTGATTTATTGCATTGGCTACCAGTATTTTAGTTTCACGTATTTTTGTCAACCGTACTAAACATCTACATGTGACCTTATGACGTCATCGGTGAACTTTCTGCGCGCGGTTAATGTTAACATTTGATTATTAGTGTTATTTTAGAGTTGTGATAGCTCAGTTGCTAAACGTTCACTGTAAATTTCACAGTACGCAAGTAACCCGGGTTCAATCTCCCCCGGCACCAATGGAATTGTAAAATGAAATTTTAAGTGCTGATTTACCACATGCTTGGCGGTGAAGTAAAATATCATGAGCAAATCTGAATGTTTTAGAAATAAGAAAAAAATATTTCAAAGACATTTGAAGTTCGACAACACGCATTGGGGCAGCGCGGCAGACTTTTCCTTTCCCTAAAACCCTCAGAAATGAGAGGAGGCCTGTGCTCAGCCCCGGGATTTATATAGGCTATAACTTTATTACTATTTTATGTATTATGCTTGTCTTAAGAGAATATTGGGCAGCAAGACATTTGA